TTTTCAGTCATTTTGTATTTACAAACGCCGAACGGGAAATTGATGCCCCAACACCCGATTGAGCTGTCAATTTCCCGTGCGTAATACAAAATGACTGAATAACGGCAAACTTCGCAAGGCTATATTATCCGCATTTTACAACATTGGAATATTACTAATTTTGTGATGCTCTTTCAAGTTGTGATGAAATTTTTGTCTAGATCAAAATTTAGTCTATAATGCAAATGGTCCATTAGGCTGAATTAGCCCTTCATAAACAAAGTTTCAAGAACCCTTTAGGTACTTTACAGAGGGTACTTTATCTGATTACTAATGCACACCGGAAGACCCACTCAAAATATTATTTCACCACAAAACAATAGTACATTATTTACAATGGAATGTAAATTACAGTCCGTACAATTCAACCAACAACAACGCCGTCCATATATTATATTGCAGCAACACAACATATTAATATTCTCTAATTTTAGCGGTAATATAATGTCTTTTACTTTTAGTAAATGTTTATTACCTCCACTGTGCACAAAACTTAGTGAACATTACAGTGCTCGAGAGCTAATTTATGCTGTCCCAGTGCAGTGTAGCTTTCAAAATACTTTCCACAACGCGTGCATGCCCAATGTTTCAGCTCCTCAATGTGCTGGGAGAGACTCACCCCTTCTCTGAAACTTTTAAAACAAAAGCCACAAGTATTCATCAACTTTGTCTTCAAAGCAAGCTGCTCTAATCTCGACATTCTACCGTGGTGTAGCAATAGCATCAAACGGTCGTACATATCTCTACGACAGAACATCAAGGCACGCAAAGCTTCAGAAGTTGGCAGACGAGAAACACTTTTACGTCGTGGCCTGCTTCGTCTTGTTCTTCTCGCTCTTGTACTTGTACTAGGCTTGGAAATTCTGCTTGAAGGAGGTACAGAATAGGAGCGAGCATAACTTCTCGAGGGCAACGTCGAGGAAACCTTGCTTAAACGAACATTCCTTCTGGACGGCCGATCGCGGTCGAACCTGCTAAAACGTCGGCTGCTAGATTTTCTTTCCTCAGAGAATTCCGTTTCGCTGAACACGGTTTCATATTCTGTTTCGTTATCGGTGAGGTCTCGAGGCGACGTTCTGCCACAGGATGAGGCGGAATATAAACCAGAATCTTTGCGCTCTCTTTGGCTCTCCTCACTTTCAGCAAGCTTTTCACGACTATCATCTTCATGTTTATCGGGCTTTTTATTATCTGGATCGGGTGTCACCACTCTTTCATCGTCTACATCACTTTTGTCGGCTTCATTCCAACGCACTGTTACGGTCAAAGGCGTCATTTCTCGCCAATCTCGACGAATTTTAGCATCCTCTTTTACTTCTTGAGTTTCATCTTTCACTTCTTTGCGACCAGCGGGAGTTGTGGCTTCCTCTGTAGAGCAGTCAGGGCTTGTAGCTTTCTTTGCATCACTATTAAAGAGGGTTATTCTAAAGCCGTCCTCATCCCACTCAACAATATTGCTCTCGCCAATCAACTCTGCAGAACCGTACAAAAGGAAGTCAGTCACATGCTCGATATTCTCGACACGTCTTGTTGCAATATACTGGCATTTTCCAAGCTTTTCAAGCTCACGAAACACCCACAAGCGTCGATTATTCAGGGTGTACCAAACCCACTTTTTCTGACACCAAATAACATCAATGCTCGGCAGGTCTTCGATGAGAATTTCCTCGTTTGCAAGTTGTTGTAGCGTCTCTCGCACCGGAATTCCATCATCGAATGAAGAAGGCAGTAGCTTCTTTTTAAAACAAATATCACTTGGTTTGAGCAGCACACGGTATGTGAAAGTCATCTCGAAAAACAGCCCTGTTGTTTACACGTGCAAATATGTTTACTACAAATCAAACATTTTGCACGTGCTAAAGTGTGCAACACTAAACCGGAAATAACAACGAAATTTATAACGGTGACGCAATTTGACGAAATTGTAATTTTTTTGTTACTGTAACATCACTACCATATTTTTGTGAGACATCAAATTGTTTTTAAATTTTTAAATCAAATTCATTGATATTTCACGACGAAACACAAAGAAAATCAAATGTATCGCTGTCTCGACACCACTGTGTCCACTGTAATAAACGTCCCTAAATTACTCAATTTTCGAATTGAATTTTCTTTTTTAAAAAATTGACACTTCTCGTATTTGCCAGAGTGCACATGAAACAATAGACTTTTTTAGACTTTACTGTTTATTGCACTTTTGCCTAATGGTCATGTTTCATGTTTCCCTGTTTTCATAGTATTGGGCGCACATGAAGGTTCCCTAAGGGTCTTTTCCCTTTTGGCATTGGCCGGGAAAAGGTTCTGGCACCGATTCGTCATGTGATCCCAATCGGCACTGCACTTGAAGTGCATGGGCGCCGGCTAGGGAAGTTAGCGATTCCAATATGCCTAGGGTGCTAGGCTTTTTCCCGCCTTCCCAATGTCACAAAGGAAAAAAGCCCTGGGAACGAGGTTGAAACATATCCTTAAAAATCCTTAAACCTATCCATTTTCACTCGGTCACTCGCAATCTCGTTCCCCGAGCCTGCGATCCTCGGGAAGGAATCGAAGGCTCTGGGATAATCCGTTACCGGAAGCCAAGAATCCTGGCTAAGATTGAACTACGCATTCCATTTCAATGGCCAATCAGATTCCTCCCTGAAACGGATTATCCCAGAGCCTCGCGTTCCTTCCCGAGGATCTCAGGCTCGGGGAACGAGATTGGGTCACTCGTTGAAAATTACGCGCGCAGCCGAGAGACCCTGGGGACAAGGATGTATTGTGCACGGAAGCGACGGAACGCGGGGGAAAAACCACCCAAAAACAAGGTCAATGGGGCAAGAGTGCGATATTGCATGAACACTAGGCAGGCAATAAGTGACTAAGGGATACCAGGCTTTAATACCGGGCTTGGTATTCAAAAAGTACCACAGCATTCCACAACATTTTTATGTCTCAATGTACAGTTCTCACCGAGTGTTCCCGAAAACAAAGAAATACACCACGTTTCAGTACGAAATGGTATAAAGGAAATGTTGCGCTATGAAAGGGAAGCTGTGATATATTGTATATTCAGTTCAGTTTTAGTTTTTAGACTCCTCTAACATAAGTAAATATAGTTTCGGATATTACCATGACGGATTTGTTCTTTTATATGTTTAAATAGAGAATAATACATGGGTGCGCGGAATACCAGATTTATTTCGAGTGTTGAACATGATATCTTACGAGTGAGCGCAGCGAACGAGTGAGATAACATGTTCAACACGAGAAATAAATCTGGTATTTCCAATCCAAGCACCCATGTATTTTTCTGTTTATTATATAAAGGACAGTCTTTACGGCCTGAAAAGCGATAAATTTCACAGAAAAGCAATAATTGAAAAGCGATAATTTTCACATTTGAGATTATCATGAATAATCTCACATGTGAGATTATCACTTTTATCAGTGCTCGAAATCTCTATAAAGCACTATACTTTATATAATAATAGGCAATTATTGGATTAAAAAACTCGACAACTTGCTTTGGGTATAAACTTGGTTGTCAGACATGAACAGTTTCTTGCTAGACGCCTGTTCTGTATAAAAGGTGATATCAATATCACTATGTTATTCACACTTGTTGCTATCAGTTGAGGTAATGCTCAAAATGGGTAAATATTAGGATTTTGGGCATCCCACTCGATATAACTAATTGTTGAAGGGAATGAACAACTTGCATGTTAGACTAAATTTTAATCTAAGTAAAGAGAAGGGAATCAAACACCACAGCTAAAAAGAACATAATGAAATTTATAAAATTGCAAAATTTGGTAACCAAATGTTGTAAAATACGGAAAATATAGCCTTGCGAAGTTTGCAAATTTTGTATATGTTTGTATTACGTACGGGAATTGTTACCATTTTCGGCTCAAAATTAAATGGTAACAATTTCCGCACGTATACAAACATATACAAAATATGCAAACTTCGCAAGGCTATATTTTCCGTATTTTACAACATTTGGTAACCAAAGTTTGCAATTTTACTAATTTTAATAAGATCTTTACGGGAAATTTCTTTTTTTCGCCTAGATAAAAAAATTAGTCTAACATGCAAGTTGTCTATTGTGTAGATGGAAATTTCGAGTGACAAGACCAGAGGGCCGATATTTTTCGCAACTTCTCCTGGTTAGGTCAAGGTTAGATCTAATAAAGATATAAAAAATTCCACTCGAAACTTTCATTTACAATTTCCATGAACAATGCTCAAAATGGTTGTTTGTTATCAATGCATTCTATCACGCTTGTTGTATGGAACACATATCACAAAATCACGATCATTCCTTTGGTGCAAAATCAAAACATATATGGGAATAACCGTTCCACTCTTGTGCAGTCTGCTTCCTGTTTTCATGGCTTTGTTTCCTGTACGTTTTTGTCTGCATCATCAACCTTGCTAGGTTCTTATTCGGTTATTTGCTCTGCGCTAGGTTGATCTTTGTTTTCTTCTGCTTTTGTTTCTTCATCTTCACTATCTTCCTCAGGCTATATAGAGAATAGGAGATTATTATACATCACCAGTGGCAGTCGTCTCAGCCTAGACTACCTATTTTTGTAACAATTGAGATATTACTTTCCTAACTGTGTTTATCCTAAACCACCCTGTCACTCAGGGCTGCACAGAGAAATTCGGGGCCTGGGGCAAATTTTTAATTCGGGCATACATCAGTGGTGTAGTCCTGGAATGTTAACAAGGGGGGCTCTCCAACAGGGGCGAAATGTCGGTATTACGGCTGGGGGCGGGCTTGTTTTGCCCGACCGAAAGGGCGTTTCCGAAGTCGTTCCTGAGGGGACGAACATTTGATCAGTCGCTAATTAATATTTCTTTTCCCAAAATTGTTGGTGAGCGGAGGATTTTTCACTACCACTTTCCTACCACTATAACTTTTCAATCTGAGACACTTGAATATTTTGAAAATTTGCCCGACTAAATTGTATGGGTATACCCGACGGGATAGAGACAGGGGGTGTCACCCCCCCCCCCCCATATATAACATATTCATTACACAGATCTAAGGCTGGTATACTTTAATTTAGAGTATTATAATTAGTTGCGGTAGTAATCATGTGTATATAAAATGCTCCGCCGTCCGTCGTCCGCCTTTTATCCGTCCGCCTTTTATCTACACCCGTTCAATTCGGTGTGGTTTTGAAAGAACAAGGCAATTCTATTTGTATTCCGTATAATATTTGATTTGTAGTATTGTGGTTTGGTGACGAGCAGACGAATTGTTCGGCTGAATCACTATATTACTATTATTGGTATCAGTATATTAGTATTTGACTATTGCAAAGACTTTATACAATGACAATGTTTGTATTAAAATACAGTTGATATTTACAAACGAAGACTTCAAGACGGAGTTTCAGTAGAACGAACGTATAACCTCCTGTTAATCTCTCTTTTGACGTTTGTGACGCATGCTCATTGAATATTAATCGTGTTATTTAATCAGCTGTGTTGTCATGTACAAATACAGATTCGCAGTTTAGTCTAAAACTGCGACACTTCTTTTACGACATACACTTGTGGCTTAGAAGTGGCTTAAAAGACTGAAAAATGAATGTTGGGATGCCAGCAAATGCGTTTGTGACGCCAAATAATGTTTGGGGATTGGCCTACTCCCCTATGCACAACTGTTCAAATACGAATATCAACGAACATTTGAGACGTGAGTGCACTGTGTCAGATAACGCTAATCCTATACAACGATTGAGTATAAGACACCCCAACGAGCGGGCACTACTGTTCAACAATCAACGAGATTGGAATTTTGGCAAGAGTCCTACCATTCACTTCCCAGATGAGGATGGCGTCAAGCATATTAACCATAAAGGGAATCACGTCAATTCATCGTTACCTGCCGTTACAAATTCTGATCATGAGCCGAGTTCGCAAACATTGTTCGAGAAATTCTCAGCTAATGCACGAAGAAGTCTGGCTTTTCTACTCAATGCTGCTGTAACCGGTTTGGTCGCCGTTGGCATTTACTGCGCTGCTAAATATTTCTCTTATCTCTTTCCTCTCGCAAAAACAGCTGTTTGTGTTGCTACCGCTGCTATTACTGGTGCTGGTATTGGTGCTGGTATTGGTGCATATACAGGCGGAGCAGCTGGTTGTATTTATGGTGCTTCTGTTGGTCGTGTTGTTTCTTTTTGGGCTGGAGGTGTTACAGGAGCTATTACTGGTACTCTTGCTGGTGCTGTTATTGGTGCTCTTGCTGGTGCTGTTACTGGAAGTGTTGCGAGAGGCGTGTGTTCATTTTTTGACGCTTCATCCGCTACTACCACTGCTGTTACGACCATTGCTAGTGGTGTTGGTAGTATTGGTGGTGGTGCCGGGGCTGGCGTGGTTGCTGGTGCGGTTGTTACTGCTGTTGTTACCAAAGTTGCAACTGGTACCGCTACTGCTGCTGCTGTTACTGCTGCTGTTACTGCTGCTTGTACCTGTCAAACTGCTTTTGTTGCCGTTGTCGCGGCCGTTGTTGCTGGTTGTTTCTGGTATTGGAGGAACCGTCAAGGATGATTTCACTTCTACTTTTTATCAAAATGCTGCAGCTGTTTTTGGATTTTAGTCAGTTGCACGTCATACCATTCTATTATCCTTTTAAAGAGTTATCCGTCATGTCCGTTGTTGCGATCATTTTAAATATCAAATAAAATCTTTATCTGAGTCTATGAAACGTTAAATTTGAGCAAGACTTTAAAGAATATGAACACGTAATTATCAAGAACTTCACTGTTTTCTTAAAATGAAACTTTATAATTAAGTAGTTTGCATGTATATTAATATACTCAATGTGCAATGGCACCATGAC